AATAGATGGCATCATGAGGAAAGAACAATACGTGGAAACATTGAAGCAACATCTCAAGACATCAGCCAGGAAGTTAAAGCTTGGAAACAAATGGGTCTTTCAAATGGACAATGACCCATTTGTTTCCAAGCTTTAACTTCCTGGCTGATGCTAAAATGGCTTCAGGACAACAAAGTCAATGTTTTGGAGTGGCCATCACAAAGCCCTGATCTCAGTTCTGTAGAAAATTTGTGGGCAGAGCTGGAAAGGCGTGTGGAGCAAGGCAGCCAACAAACCTGACTCAGTTCCACCAGTTCTGTCAGAAGGAATGGAACAGAATTCTATCAAACTATTGAGAGAAGCTTGTGGAAGGAAACCCAAAACATTTGACCCAAGTCATACAGTTTAAAGGCAATGTTACCAAATGCTAAGGAAATGTATGTAAACTTCTGACTTTGAAGAAAGTAATGGAAAAAAATCTTGAAATAAATCTCTCTCTCATTATTCTGGCAATTAGCAAATAGAAATAATTTTGGTAATCCTAACTGAGACCTAAAACAGGAAAAGTTGATTTAAAGTCATACTGTGAGGAAAAAAAAGGTCTTTTTATACAGTGTATGTAAACTTCTGTTTTCACTGTATCACCCAACTCAGACCTTCGTACTGCGGAGAAAGCAAATGACAGCAGCTTCCAAACAGATTCATGAAGTGCCCATTGTAACAGTTATAAAAGCACACATCTGACAATAGCAAATGCTGGCAAACATGACAGAGACTTGGTTCATATATAGAAATTATGACAAAGTGTGTGATTAGTCGGCCTCTGACTGCTGCCAGGGACAAACAGACTTATACACAAATAGGCACAGTTTCCTCTTTGTATCATACAGACCTGATAATCCTCACTGAACCATCAGTCTCCTCTCCAAATCTTCAGTCTCTCTATATTAAACATTTCACAGTATTCAGTGACCCCTCAAATGTCTATATAAAACATCCAAAATTAAAATTGAATATAAAAACAGTTTCATTCTTTTATAATTTTTTTTTTCCATTTGTGATATAAAGTGTGTATTAACAAAAGTCTTTTTAGAAATTTGTGTAAAGGTCAAGCGTCGGATGAACACACACATTGCTGGATTTGATGTCATGTTTGTGCCAATAATGTAAGCTGGAGAGGCTGAAAGACTGACAGTCGACCCGTCAGTAAGAATAGTCACTAGGTAAAAGACACAATGTGGAGGGACAGTCTGAACTCTAAGGATGGACAACCTGGGAAAATATCCAAGAATCTGTCTTATGACAATAATTATGTCAATCACCAGTTATGGATGCAGATTTTTTTCTTTCAAGTAACATCTTGCACACTTTTACACTGGACAAATGCACATTTTAAGCTCTCCTGTTTATATTCTTATCAAACCATCACCTTTTGTCTGCTATAATAAGTTACAGAGGTCGTATTGTGTGCTGTAAACTTGCAAAAAAGCATTAAAAAAAAAACCCAAAAAAACAACATACATAAGTGGCCTTTAACCACATTGTCGGTAATGTATGTCCAAGTTTTTACAAAAAGCAAATTCTAACACTCAGCCTGAGAAAAATCTTTGAAACAAAAACTCAGTGAGTCTTCACCTTTGGCAAAACTTACAGATATATGCAAATAAATAAACATAAAAAATACTGCACATAAAAACAAACCAAAAAAACCCCACTTTGGTAATAATAACAGATAAGCATTAACAATCACTCTGCCAAAGTCTTTGGCATTCCCAGAATAAACAACATTTTGGGGGGGATCAAAATTAAAGTGGCAACAGACAAATTTTTCACTTCCCCCGGAGCATTTCCAAATAGTAGTATTGGTACGAAGACCAGATTGTTTTCCGTGTTGCTCAGCGCCTCGCAACTACCAACACCACAGGACATGAAACAATCAATGCCACTTAGGAAATGAAGCAAAGAAAACAGCATGCTCACGGAGGAGGTCAAATGAAATGAAATAATCATAATTTAAAATGGGGTAATAACATAGTCTGAGAGCATGCAAAGACTACAGCAGGGGTTGGTGTCAGGGTAGCGCAGAAGAAAACATGAGGAGAAAAATGTGTTTAGTGACTCATGTAGTCTGTAGTGTAGACATGAAAACACAGAAATTCTTTAGTATGTGTTTAGAAACTGTGTTTGTATCATGCTATGTTGTATCTTTGTGTAACCAAACAGTCTGACTCCTGTTCAAAGCAAGACACAACTGTAAGGATCCCAATTTAAAACAGAAACCTTGATTTCAGCGTTATGATACAGGCAGCGCAAAAGGCCCATCTGTGTTATTAAGTAGGCAGGTTTTGGAAAAGAATGCCAGTTTTGAACCCTCCTAAATCCAGATCTCTTTCCATTGAATAAATGCCCGTATGAGTTTTTTTTTTCTCGCAATGCTCTTTTTCTTTTGTTGGGTAAAGTTTCCACAGTTACTTCAGATGTTCCACTGTTGGTCATTTCGACTTGCTGGGAAGAGCAACTGATAGCTACCATGGGAATCAAAAGCACTGTCCACTTTGCGTTTTGGTTGTGCAATTGGAGACAGGCATCCTTTGTGGCGTAAACAGAGCCTTCATTTTCCCTGGAGATCGCTTACCCGATGGTAGACAGAATTGCATAGTGAAAGCAAGGCTTATAGGAAACCAGTCTAATGGTGTCATTACTCTAAAGCCATTACATTGCATTACCAACCGTTACTTCATAATGGTAAGTTAGAGCCAAAAACTTGTCCATTGCCACTTTATGTAAATGTAACAGGCAAGTACTAAAAGTCTGGAAAATCTCTTAGTAAGGACAGTATTTAAAGGGTACAGCTTTAGAAAACTTTTTGAGAAGCCAAACAAAGACAACTGTCGAACTGACTGAAGGATTCACACAGTAAAGTCCTCAGTTTCCCTCAATAAAAGATCCACTGTCCTCTCTGTGCTCCTACTACTGGCTCTTGGTGTTCTCTGGGCAGACATAAGACAAAAGCATATCTATCATGTTCTTGACGATGGCTGGAGGAGGATGGAGGGCATGGGGGTGATGGTGTGCTGAAGTCATTTGCCAAGCATCCACCACCAGGACGTTCAGTCCCTTGAACATGGCTCGGAGCACCATATCCAGCTGCAGGGAGTACCAGTCGCTGTTGTACAGGCTCACCTCCTGGTCCAGGGCTTGGAGATTGGCTGAGCGGATCACCACGAGTGTCTCCGGCGCTCGGTCCAGCAGTCTGACCAGTGCCCGTCGAATGTGGCGAAGTCGCCGGATGTACACCTCCACTGGAAAGGTGCTGAAATGGGCCCAGATGCTGAGAACCACCACAGTGTTGGCGCCCCCAGCAAGGCCGTCCAGCTCGTTCGAAATGTACCGCAGCTCGCTGGACATGACGGTGGTGAAGCGGATGGGAGGGCCATGGCAACGGTACTTCAAGAGGATATTATGGGTGCTGTCCACCGCCATGAACGGCCCGACGTTTTTAGGACTGTGTAGGTTGAACTCCTTTAATTCTAAATGAGAAGCAAAAAATGAAAGTTATAGCAGATAGGATAAGCTAAAAACAATCAGGGTCAGACAAACACACAAAACTTACCTGGTACAAAAGCAATGAGGTACTCAAACCACTGCCGGACAGTGGAGTCTCCGTACATGTTGATGACTTTGTTCTGCAAACACTGAGCGATGGCGGATGACTGATTGAACTGACGCATAGTAACGCCACCTAAAGGCCTCCACGAGTCCTCGTAGTAATATCCAGATGCTTCTAGCTGAGTGTCCTCTGGATTTATACTGCTGTTCTCTTCCTCTACTTTATCTAGAAATGTTGCAGAGAAAATACATTTATTGGAATAAATCAAAGCATGCACAAACTGTGAAATGATGAACCAACTACACCGCAGGTATACTGTACCTTTCCGTGGTAGCACACTGATTTTGTCAGGTCCTGAAGCGTGTATCTGAACTTTGATGTTTACACCACTGAGACGGAAAAACAGAAGTGCCTAATGTTAAAAGTTAGGGCTGATGTGGTTCTTTGTTACTTCTAACAAATCCAATGAATTCTAAGCCTAGAACAGTCATCACTTCAGCATCACCAGCTGATACAAAACGCAGCTGCTTGTCTTTTAACATAAAAAAGGAAGTGAGATCACATAACCCCACTAGTAGCCACCCTCAACTCGCTTCCTGCCAGTTTCTGAACTAATTTTAAGATGTCACTGTTTTCGTTTCCAGTTTTAAATGAGTTGGCACAATCTTATTTAGCAGAAGTAATTGTACCATGGTTACAGCAATGAGATCAGCCTACCAGATGCTTCTGGATGTTCCAAGATCCACGCACACAAATGGAGGCAACTGAGCCTTCGCAGTGGCTGCTGATCATCTCTGGAACTGTTTACCTTTCTTTTAAGAACTGCTCAGACTTTAGGTAATTTAAAGTTGCTGCTGAAGACCAACCTCCTGACACCATAACTTCAATCCTTATTGCTGTATGTTTTATTTATTTATTTTTATTTTTGTCTTTGATTCAGATTTGTGTTTTCATATTTGTGTTTTACTATGCTCTATGGGTTGCTTTATGTTTTTAAAGCACTTTGGTTTTACTTTAGTTGTTTATAAATGTGCTTTATGAATAATTTAGGTCAAAGTAGAGTTTGTGTTAGTCTGTCTCAGTATTTAGACTTCCACACTCAATCTAAATCTAAATTTAACTGGGCACAGTACTTTTTGGAGAACCAACTTAGAGCCTACAGTGCATTTGGTAGGGACTATTTTAAGTGGTGGACGAATAAACATTTTGTGCACTAGTTAGCATTTCAATAGCCTCTATATAAGGCATAAAAGTTGTGGCTGTCTATACCAACACAAGAGTATATCTCCTATAAGGAGAGAAGTATTTGATATATAACTGGCTAGACATGTAGCATTTCCATAAATGTTTTATCTGAAAGATAATGAGCGTACAATCGGCTTCTGTGACAGTCCAAGACATTCATAGTTGCAGCTATGGGATAAATACCGTGCAGATTCAAATGACGTCACCAACGCAAGATAGCGGCGCAAATTTCTGCAGGCATATTGTTAGACAGCCGAAGGAGCCGGAGATGGATTGTCCATCTTTAAAATACAGTCTATGCCTGTGACACATAAAATAAACTACATTTCCCATGTTTATTGTAATGTTTTTTGACCAAAATCATAAGCTGTCTTCAGGTTGTACACTTGATATGGTGCATCAATCATTTTGTCTCAATTGTAAATTTCATCCACTCTTATGTACAATCATCATGAGGCACATCAACTGACACAGACCATTGTGCATCGCCTGTCTTTCTGTTGTAAGATAATAAAAGGGCTAATGAGAGCTCCTTCCTAATGTGATTTTCTTACCCGTTGGGAGCGCCTAGTGAACATAACACTCCTCATATATTGGCCTGTCTCCTCCTCTTCCAAAGCAACAGTAATTATTACACAGGAAACTCATTTGAGACTTTAGTTGCTCATTCTAAACGGTAAATATGTAAGTGGTGCATTAATGTCATTAATATTTACAGTTACATTTTGTGTTATGAAGTTTTATTTTAATGTCTACTTTGTAATGTTTAATGTCTACTTTGTGGTGTCCATGGCCTTAAATGTTGAGTGTTAGCATTACATCAAAATAGTGTCAAAAATGCATCAACGGCTGTCGGCCCTTGTCCCCCAGTCAGTGTTCGAAGTAGCGCTTTATGGTGGGTGGACAAACTGAACATTGCCATAGTCTATAGCACAGAGGAATGAGCTCCATCAGACTAAACAGATACTTATCAGGACATTTAATTCCGAGTTTGGTTGTTTCATGGGATTTGCTTAAAGTAAGAAAAATGCTAAATGTCAACAGACTTATTTTTTAATAAAAACATAAATATAAGTCAAGTGAAAGCAAATGTTCCATTTGTATAACACTACATACCTCTGGAAGAGCAAAGCCTCCTTGTTGGTGATGAGGTGCTTTAAGTAGCCTCCTTTGGCGTGGTTGATTCTGGTGTCACAGCTGAGCATCTTAGGCTTGTAGCAGTACCAGGGCTCACCTGTGTAAAGGTCTGTGTAGTTGCACAGCGGATGCTGGTCGGGGGGTAAACACATGTTGCACACAGTAGTTTCCGACAAGAAGCCCAAGCGGAACAGGCTCTTGAAAAACACCCGATCGGGTCGTTCCTCCCTCAGCCTTCGCAGCACGGCAACGGCCTCGCTGGAATGCACCATTATAACCTCGACCTGTGCGGTTCCCACCCAGAGGAGCGGAAACAGAGCGGAATAAAATCCATTCCTGTGGTCCACTACCCTCCCTGCCACACCTGCTCCGAGCTCGGGAGAGTGAAGTCTGGCCAAAAGGAAATCCCCGCCGTAGCGCTTGGGACGACCTAGGAAGTCGTGCATTTGGACGAGGGCCTCCAGCTGGTCGCCCACATGCCACTCCCTCCCTTCTTTAGTGGGAAGGATGGCGAACAGGCTGTGCACAGGGTCGCTTGTCTGGCGCAGGGTGGGTGGTGAGGAGTGAGACGGAGGACCGGGCCAGGAGATAGAGTCCAACAGATAGCGCTCTTCCACTTCATCTTCAGGGGACGGTTTCTGGCCCAAATGAGCACAGAAGGTGCGGTTGTGGTAAAAAGTGGGAAGATTGACGGGAATGAAGGATGACTGGATCCTGCTCTGTAGCTGGTAGAGGGTTGAAATCGTGTGGCAGTTCCAGTTCTAAGGAGAAAGAATGTTTGGAATCAACTAAAATTGAATACAGAGGGTCTGACAAAAAGACACTATGGGTTGTATTATAGGAAATGAAGGATCCAAAATGTTTGGAGTTTGACATATACTAAAGACTAAAAATGCAAAATATCCTGGCTTCTGCTGCTTTCAATATTAACTTATCATTTTCTAACACATCTTATGAGTCCCCAAGCCTGGAGAAGATTAATACTAAATCAGCCTCACAGGCACATTACAGGGGGAAAACAAGCTCTTTAAAATTGAGCAAGCCAACTTAAAATATGTGGACTTTGGTATGTTTCCATCGTGCAGCTGTGTTTATATTAATAACTTGAGATGGATGCCCAGGGACACTTGTGTTTTTGTCTGCCTGAGAAAACGTTTTGGAATGCTCTTACTGCTATTAAGCCAAAAATGGCAGCACTAATGCAACTGTTTTGTGCCTCTCGTTTTACTTTTCATATCTGTATTTAGTGGAATATTTCTGTTGAGTGCATTTATATATATACTTAGACCTATATTTATTTGAGCTTCTCTGAACATTTACTTGAAAAGAATAAAGCATCACACAACAGTCAGGTGAAAAAAACCCATTTCTTTTCACTTTTGAAGAAAATTGTTGTACTCTGACTGCCCCTGTGATGTAGGGTATTGTTTAATAGATACATGACACACTGAATATCAAAATCCATATTATCCATTTTGCTTTTGAGGTCACAGAGCAAATATATCAAGATTAACCCCTTTCTCTCCTCACCTCTACAGTGTGGATGTTGCGCAGCAGGAAGATGAGGCCGGACAGCGCTAGGAACAAGAAGATGAGGGTGTATTTGGACAGATTTCGGCACATTGTGACCTCCTTCTGTCTCCCATGATCAGGCCCTGTTTCTTTCTCTGCTGTCACCGCGGTGATGATGGCATCATTATATCTGCATGCAGCAACGCTGTCAATGAGAAGGATGGACACAAAGAAAAATTACTGCTTGATCTGGTCATGTTTATGAAGACGAAAAGCAGACACAGCACAGGAAAATGGAACTATTCTCAATAAGGTTCTGGCCCCAATACATTTGTCTAAGCTCTCAGTGTGTCTCTTCTGTGTGAGGAGTCGTCATCAGATAAGGGAAGACAAGTATATTTATAGAAAGGATGACATCTTTCATTTTTTTAAAAGCATGTTAGATTGTACTTGTGACACATCGTACAGATTGAGATCGCTTGGTGATGTACTGTAGAAAGCACAATCATAATTACCTGTGGCGAGGAAATGCTTTGATAATTAGATGATTCGGGTGAAATTGAAGTGATTTATTGCTCATTCTTTCATGACGCACGGGTTGTTCAGTTTAGTCATCTGTGCTGACTGCCTCTGCTTCGAAGATCAAAAAGTAGTTGCTGGATTTGGGTAAGAAAGCCTTTTTGTGGCTAATTTTATTTGTAGATTTTAAGGGGAAGCAAAGTTCTCTGAGTCTGATGTAAAGTTTTAAGTTATGCTCTTTTCAGTCAAATTCTGTTTCATCACTCCAAGTGTCCTTTTCATGCACCGTGGGCTCCACACATTCTACACTTCTACGCTGGGCGCCTTGTTCAATCGCATACAGTAATTGAAATTGAAGACCATTTTACCCAAGTGTTTCCACGTTGCTAAGCTTTTTACTCTTAATCTTCAATACCCGGGACAGAAATGCACCATTTCTACATGTATGTATGAAGACTTTAATGACTTAACAGTATATGACGTGGTTATCAGCAACAACTATATTAAAATATTTCGAGTAATCCAAGCACCAAGGTCCACTTACAAGCTTCATCCAGTGCTTTCAACCAGGTCACACAATCTTCATCAGCAGATGGAGCAGAAAGCTACATTGATTAAATAAAAAACAAAAGGGAGCAGTTCAGTAACAATCAGGTAAGAATCCAATGTCAACAGCTTCCTTCATGTGACTCCATCAATTTGATTGAACTAAAAATAAGAAAATAAATGAATAACTCGCAAAATAAAACAGCTCAATATATAAAACGGGAAGAAACACAGCAAATAACATAAAACATACAATAGCGCAGTATTTATAATAGAAAATCTGCACAACAAACGCGACAGAAGGACTGAGTATGCATATTTAGGCCAAAGAAATATCCACATCCATGCTAAAGTTCAATTCATAGTAAATTTCTGTTTGACTGGCGGGAAACGCATTGTGTTAGAGATCCATCTATCCACTATTGATATGCCACTTAATCCTCACTAGGGCCGCGGAGGGGGGCTGGAGTCTATCCCAGCTGACTTAGGGCAAAGGCAGGGGACACCCTGGACAGGTCACCAGTCTATCACAGGGCTACACTTAGAGACAGACAACCAAGCACACTCACATTCACACCTACGGACAATTTAGAATCACCAATTAACCTCAGCATGTTTTTGGACTGTGTGGGAGGAAGCCAGAGAACCTAGAGAGAACCCATGCTGCACGGAGAGAACATGCAAACTCCACACAGAAAGATCCCGCTGCCCCCACCGGGACGCAAACTGGCGACTTTCTTGCTGCGAGGCAACAGTGCTAACCACTGCTACACCTTGCAGTCCTGTGTTAGAGATGTTAATGATAAATTATTTCAATGGTTTTATTATATTTTTACTAATAATATCCTTTTCAGAATTGTTCATACTCCTGTAAACTGTCAAATTTTGTTTCTGTATTATTGTACCTGCACCAATGGTCCTGGTAATGTCCACAATGTTCTAAAGCATTCTAATTCACTGTAAATTGAGAACAGCACGCAATAGTTCTCTAGTCACTTAGTTGTTAATCATGAGTCATGGTTAAAACCAAAGAAGCGACAGAGAATGCAATTAGGGTCCATCACTGAGAGTGAGTTGTGCATTGTGGCATATCCCAAGACAGTAGAAGGCTATAAAGCCGTATCCAAGTGGTATTAAATGGCTGTGGCCAGAGTGCAAAGCATAATGGAAAAGTTCAAGGAGCTCCAAATTGTAAAGCCAAAAGTGATCCCTTGACTGGTAAGCAGGGCAATAAGAGAGGTCAACAAGAATGCAAGGGTCACCACCAAGGCCATCCTGACAAATCAGAGCAATTCTCAAGACAGTCACTCCAGCAAACACTCGCACAACGAGTCCTTTTTTCCACGACAGACAGACAAACGCTTACCTAATGTTTGCAAAAGGTAACATGAAAAAAGAAAGTATCTTTTGTTTAATAAGATAAATATGTTGTTGTATACAAAAAGTAGCATTGTTTTTGTTTGGCAAATGAAAGGGAAAGCATTCAGTCCCATGAACACCCTCACAGTCAAGCATAGTGGTGGAAATGTAATGTCTTAGGATTTTTTTCAGCTAAGGGAAAGCTTGGCAACCTCGTCAAATTAAACAGCACCATGAGAAAAGGCTACAGCATTAAGATTCTGGAGGAAAACGACAGGCAGTATGCAGAAAACTAGACTTTGCAACGAGACAATGATCTAAAGCACAGAGCCAAGTAAAAGCAAGGAAGCGTTCCAACCTCAGAGCAGAGAGACAAAAGAGGAATGCTCCAAAATCCCAGTGGAGACAGGCAAAGAGATCGTTAGCCATTAGAGGAACCACTTGAGGGATGTGACGCAAAACAAAGGCTTTGCCATTGATTATTTTGATAATTGCATTTTTAGTAAAAATAAAATCAGCAACATCTTTAACACCATGTTTTACTTTGGCCATGAGTCAGACCAAGTAAATCTGTGCACCATCTGGAGGGAATAATGCTTGTCGTAATTTTTGGCAGGCTACACATCTCTAGAGTGAGGAACTGTGTGGTAGCACTGTATTAGTGGTAGCACTTTGTATATTATTAGCTGTTTGGTAACCCCATACCAAAATAAAATGGTTGAAACAGGTGCAAGACAGAAGACGACAATCTATTTAAAACTCAGGGTTCTCTCTTATACATCTTCCTCGCGTAGTTCCTGTTACTTGCTTACCAACAGTTTCAACATTAGCCCAGCACTTAGTGTTTGTAATTACAGGCACTGATGGTCCAGTGTTATGTATAATACTGTATTCATAAGGCCCATATCACATGTTGAAATATGTGAATTTGAAGAAAATGCAATCATAAACTTAAATAAAATATACTATAATTGAGGGGCTGCAAGGTGGAGCATTGGTTAGCACTGTTGCCTCACAGCTAGAAGGTCGCTGGTTCGTGCCCCAGTGAGGACTCCCGGGCTCCTTCTGGTTCTCCCCATGCAGCGTGGGTTCTCTCTGAGTTCTCCGGCTTCCTCCCACAGTCCAAAAACATGTTGAGGTTAATTGGTGATTCTAAATTGTCCGTAGGTGTGAATGTGAGTGTGCTTGGTTGTCTGTCTCCAAGTGTAGCCCTGTGATAGACTGGTGACCTGTCCAGGGTGTCCCCTGCCTTCACCCTAAGTCAGCTGGGATAGACTCCAGTCCCCCCGCAACCCTAGTGAGGATTAAGTGGTGTATAGATAATGGATGGATGGATGGATGGACTATGATTGAGATATATATACATTATATATACATATACATTATTAATGCTAGAGGTATTAGTGTTGTCCCACCCTCCAAAACAAATTAATAGTGGTTATTTAGAATTATTTTATTTTTTATTTTATGTGTTTGTCAAATGAACTGAAAGGCACTGATAGATGGCCAGATGGGAAGTATGCGAAGTATGTTATATCAGTTATATTCTTGGCATATGATCAAATATGTATTAGAAACTATAAAGCATCTGTTTTTGGTTCATAACACAATATATTTATCAGCAACACACTATACAGCATAAGGTTTCATTTCACCTTTGGCTCATTTATCAGATTGCAAACAATTAACCATTTTACTGTCATGTTGATCTATTACATTATTAAATACATAAATGCTTGGATTTCAGTATTTTTGAGAATTTAAAAGAAAAACAACATTAATCTTATTCAGAAACACTCTATCATTCACCTCTGTTGGATGTTTTTTAAGTATCCTTCAGCAACAACAGGGAAAACATCATGACATTGAGCAAATATATAAATTCATCAGTATTACATTAACGTTGTCTGCTGTGCTGATTTGATAACAAAACAGTTTTTCTCCAGATAACTCGTCAAGTGCAACAACATCATGTTACACTGTTTTTCTCAAGTTTAATCAACTACGTCATGTGATACAACTTTCTCGTACAATAACAGAAATGTAGCTTTTACTCTTTTTAAATTAAAGCACAATTCTGTGTGACCTACATCTGTTTTCATTTCCAATCGTGTCGTGGCGGTACACGTGAAAGGTGCGCACTGTTGTTGCGATATCTTTATCACTACTTTTATCGGATTTCCTTGTTTCTTACTGTGCTGTACATAGCGGCTGTAGCATGTGTATTTCCCTGCTGAGGGATCAGTGCAGTTTATCTTACCGTATTATATAAAAATAAAACATATAAAAAACAAATTTGGATAAATGATAAACAAATACTTATCTGAAAGCAACATTTAGAAGTGTTAGGATCCTAAGCGTGTTTTTCACGACCTGTATAAGGTCACGTGATCCTGGTAGAATCTTTGACTGATAAGAAGTGTTGCTCAAAGTCTGACCTCACACTTGCTACATGTGCACTGACACCTATACAAGGGTAGGAACATATAACCAGTGATAACACACACAAACATACAACTGAGGCAGTGCTAGCTGCATATTTTCTAACCTTAGGGTTGCATACCTATATATAATATATAAGCATAATACATCTAAAATAGGATAATATATAAAAAGCAACCTACTGCTCCATTAGAAATTCACTATAAATCCAAATTTATCATGAGTATGAACAATTTTCACTCTTGAAAGAGAGCTGTCATATCGCATTACCTAAAATGCCTCAACCACTTTCACAGCATTTCTACATGAAATTAAGTTTCCCTTAACTTCCGTCTTAACTGCTAGCATCGTCAAATACTGTTAAATTATTGTACCTGCTGTTTGAGCCAAATATTGCCGGACATTTCATCACAATTAAACAGGCGGCTTTACCAGCTAAACACAGCTGTTCTCGGGGACATTTATTTGTAGACGTCCCTGATAACAGTCTCCATCCCCCCGCTGCCGTTCAGCTCATCTCCATCTTGACGCGTCTCTAACGGTCTGACTTATTTGTTTCTAGCGGTCAGGTGCTGCTGCTGCTGCTGCTGCTGCTGCTGTCACATGAACGGCTGAAAATGACGCCAGAGACCCGCAACAAAGAAATGAAAATATTCAATGCATGGGAGGAGATAATTTAAAATGTCAGCCCTACTAACGGACCCTCTGCTAGCAAACGAGGCGGACGGTTTATCCGACTCAACGGTTGCATTACTTACGGGTGTCGGGATTAGCGTGATGTCGGAGGAGGGAGAAGGACCGGTGCGTCCGACCGGAGAACAGGAGCCTTTTAATGAAGCACACCGAGGGGTGGACGGTATAGTCGTCTGGAAGAGCCTCCTCCCGATTAGTAATAATGATTGGAGGAAAAATAATGGGAGGAGGTGAGAGCGCGTCTCAAGTGTTACAGCGCCCTCTGGTGGTCGGCCATTTTAAAAATCCCAGCGCAGTGGAGGAG